AGCAGTTTCGTACACAGCATCCTAATAATTCCATAATTACTTGTATTGGTGAGTTCAGGTCCCCATTTTGGGATTGCTTCTTCTATATGCTTTTTCAATAGGAACGTTGGTATAGAGGCTTTCCACGACGATCCTGCTTTCTGACTTCGATTGCCCCTAGTGGTTCAATAAAAGGCCTCGAATTCTTCACAAAAGATAATGTTTTTCCTTGCAGTGGTTTAATTATTGGTAGTGAAAAGCTGCACAAGTTCTGAGTGACTGAATCTCTGGAGCTTATGATCGGTCTGAGTGGAACATTCTTCTTGTGGATTTTGGGTATTTCATACAAATGAGGGGACTCATTGTGTTGCGGTGTTAGCGATGATCTCTCTTTTTTTGAAAAATATACTTGGTGTTTTTCAAAAGTCTGGTACAACTTCCTTTCAAATGACGCAGTAGGGTCCCTTTCGATCTTCTTACATTTTCTTTTCTGAAGCACCTCTTCGATCTTCTGTTCATAGAGATCAGAAGGTCGAAAAAATGTGAATGACAACGCTCGCCCAGAAAGTCTCAGAAAATATTTATCTATCATTGCACTCAGAAACAATTAATGGAGAAAACAGTTTTTGTAGTCATCCGAAAAATTCAAAATTGACGCTAAGGACGGAGAGGCTTCTCATCCTTGCACTATCAGGAAATGAAACACTTTCATCAAATCATGGCCACCTGCGCTCAAAACGATAATAATAATTTCCGATTCATCATACCTCTGTCACGGATCTCAAGGCATGACAATATCCCAAACTATCTCTGGAGTATCACTCACTTTAATCCAATCGAAACTCGGAAACATCGTTCAACGTCTAAGTTCGTATCGCGAATGTATTTCCCTATTTCCTCCCAAAATGTAATGGTGCAGTGGAAATGATCATTTCATTTCAAAATGATCCGTACAGATACTAAAACAACTATGGGGCTCAATTACTGTGTCATAAATAGAATTTATAAAATCCAACTAATCCCAAGAAAGCTAAAAGGTATATTGAAGATGATGTATCGATAACACTTTGTGTTCTGGAAACATGAAACAACAACACAATTGAAGTATACAGTTCACCATAGAGACAAAAACAATATGGAGATCTCCACACAAACCAATATCGTCACGCTCTTTCCAATCATCATTCCTTTCGAAATCAAGACGGTATTGTGACACTTGAAGAACGCGCTCGTAGAAATTTCCAGATTGAGAACTGGAACTGACAATTTTTTTACCATATCTGAGAAGAATAAGGGCTTGAGACCAAGAACTTCCTCACACCTAAGCTTGTATGAACGAAAAATGATTGGAAAAGCTAACCTTTCCACCATCTCTAGAGTAGCAAAACGAGTAGGAAAACTTCTGGGTTGACACCAGTTTCAAACAAGCAAGAAAGATAAGGAATTGTCTTCAATTGTTCGTGTGGTAAATATATATGAGGACCATAAAGGGCTCCATGGGTTCTAGGATGAAGTAGCAGAATAGGCACCTAGTCACAAAGATCACCAAGTCCTCTTTGGAGAAGTTACTAGACCAGACAAAAGATATCATAGTTGACCAGTGCAAAAGGCAACAAAAATCCACGAACATACGGATGAATTCAGAAAAAAATATTAGGAGCAGCAAAATTTTTCGATTCCACAAGGATTTTCCGAACGTCCAGGGTTATCGTGTTGGTCAATTAATTTGAACTGCGCTAGGGCTGGAGTGTCCGATGTGAGTGTCTGATGATGTTCATAAACAGGTGGAATCCGACCACTATAATTCGTATCCAATCAAGGCAGTGCTGTTTGGTGGTCAGGAGCACGCCTTGGCTCAAATTACGATGGATACGTCGTAATTTGGCGCACTGCGAGCATGAAAAAGACCTGTTGATCGCCCTGTTATCTATGACATATGGGACACGAGACGCCGTTCACTCTTTCGAATCGCCATCCACAATACTGCCCTCCGATTATTCGAAGAGCGATTGAACTGCTGTCAATTTGTCAAATGTCATCCACTTCTGTGAGAATATCACAAACATCCGCATCCAAATGGGCAGTTTTTGTGGCTTAAGGGGCTTGATTCGGTGAAGTGCCCTACTTGTTCTGATTGTCTCCACTGAGAGCGAGTCTCCTTTCCAGCTGCAGCAATGTGTGGCAGAACTTCCATTCCATCACTTTGTTGACTGACTGGGTAGGGGCTATATTGCTTGCCGCCGAAGATACGATACATAATCCTTCAGACTTGAGCCGAAAAAGCGGCAGACTCCAGACGTGTTTCACACCACAGAGCATGTATTCTCGCCATGTACCCTTTTCGTGCCGCCTTATTACTCCCGTAACAAAGCATACGGCTATTTCCAAGCTCATGTATCCACTCAAAGCGTCCGTTGGCATTGCTTACGTTGTCTGATAGTAAATCCTCGTTTGAGGCCACACCACGATGAATAATAACAAACTCTGTCTTCTGATATTATTGGACTATTCTTAGGCGTTCGATCGCATACACCATGACCTCCTCTTTGCTATTTTGGGCTACCTGGGGTTTTCAATACATGCTATAGCACTACTAAAAAGTTACTTTCGCAAAATCGTGTTCAAAAAGTTGTGTATGAAAACGAAACACTTCATTTAATACAAATTGAAAACAGTGTTTCTCAAGGTTCAATATTGGGCCCGCTCTTGTTCGTTTCATACACATCTCAATTCCATAGGTCACTGCAATTCGTAACCATGCATTGTTATGCCTGGTTACTCAGCTGTTCATGGAATTCAATTAACGAGGCCCTATGGCAAATTAATACCGATCTCGCTATGTTATTATCTTTCTCAACTGAATATTGTTTATCTTTCTATGCATGTAAATCTAATGTCATGCTCTTTGGTAGAACAGCGGCGAGAAATCGTTGAAAATATTTTATTCCAACAGAGTATTTCTGAATGAAAAAAGTAAAATTATACTCTGCGATGCTTCAGTTCTTTCACATGCCAACTACGCATACGTGGTGTATGGTCCGGGATTTTTGAAGAGTGACAGTTTCAGAATCCAAAAGCTCCAGAATGCATGCATTAGGCTCATTACGGGTATGGGGAAACACATTTCCCATCTGTTGGTTAAATATGGAATACAGACGAACATTTCATTCTGCAACATTTTTTCAAAAACTCCTTGAAACAAAAAAACCCTCCTATCTTCTCAAAAAAATATTCTTTAGAACTGACGTACACCATCTGAACTTAAAATTCAGGACACTTTTCACAATACCACAGCATAAAACTTCTCTATTTCGCAGATCTTCCACTTACCATATTGCCTACTCACATGATTGGATACCCATCGAATATAAACTTCTGTCATTAGGGATCTTCTAACGAAAGATAAAAAATATCTTCTCACAATAAATAGATCCAGATAGTCGACTTATGTCGAAATCAATCAACCTTTATTCAAGCTCAACAATATATATTGCACAGATATTGAATTCTTCCATTTGATTGGTTGTAATTGTATGGAGCTATCAATAAAAGCCATTATTTTTTTTTTTATTTTTTTTTTTCACCATAGTGTGCGCTGGTCAGACCCTATCCCCCGAAGCCCCGATACATTCGGGAGGGTGCGCCAGCATTATCAACCAATGACCACTCCCCATTCCGTGGTGTAAGTGATCAATGGGTCCAAGAATCATGTGCCCTGAGCAAGCGCAGTGAGCCAAGAATGACAGCCTTCTGCATCTGTGTGGCTAAGATTTCTGCCTTAGTGCGGCAAGCCGGTATGATTTTAAGATTCGAGAGTAGAGGGGACATCATTCCACCAAGGACTCCAATAATCAGATTTATCTGTTTTTCCTTCTCTTCTCTGACGATATTCGTCTCGCCATTATCTGTTTTTCCTTCTCTTCTCTGACGATATTCGTCTCGCCAGGAGCTGAAAACTCCACGACAAATATCGTTTTGCTCTGGTGGTCGAAAAGGACCACATCAGGCTTATTAGCTTGTATGAGCCTGAGGGTGGGGAACGAATAGGTCTAATAAATTCGGCACTTCTCGTTCCCCACAACGGATTCAATATCCCCCGGAGCGTAGGGCAACACCAGTGTCTCGTCAATACCGTAAGAGTGCCGTAGATTGTAATATAGCACTCTTAGGGCCGCGTTATGTCGATGGATATAGGCCGAGACCGCATATGCTGGACATGCTGATAGCAAGTGCATTAGGGTCTCGAGCACCTCGCGGCAGGCCCTGCACCTTGTGTCAGGAACCTCTATACCCATCATGCGACTGCGGTAGTGGTAGTGGTAGATGGTGTTGAAGACACCAACCTGGCAAGCCATGATGAACCCCTCAGTTTCCGACTTCAGCCCACTCGACCTGAGAAAAGCGAAGGGCAGGCGCTTTGATAAGCCAAGGTCTCCAATGTTATTGAAGAAGACCTCATGCATTGGCTCATCCTTGTGTTTCCGCAGAAGTAAGGTAATCTCTGCGGCTTTTATCTGAGCTTTCTGCTGAACAGGTTACAACTCGGTGACAGAGTTGTGGTCACCTCGTACAGTGTCGAAAACTATAGCGAGTTCATCAGCTGCTCGGGCAGCTGCTCTAAAGAGAAATTATTATTATTATTAGTATTATTATTATTGATAAACTGCCAGTCTGGTTTGGACCATTTGCTCAGGATGGTGGTGATGCTACTCAAAGGCCTAAAATATTAAACGGCACATCTGCTAATTTATTATCATCATTGTTATTATTATTTGATTTTCGTTCTGATAATCCTTAGCAACCTTAGCATTGATTTTCCATCCATAGCAATGTATTCAATACATGTATCTACTTTCAACTATATGCGAATCATTGTAAACTTCTCATTTTTTCGCTTATTTTAACTGGACTATTAATCCAACCGAAACTCTGGAACAACGTGCTACGTCTGAATTTGTATCACGAATGTATCTCCCAATTTCCTCCAAGTTGTATTCACAACGATAATTTCCTTGTTGCAGCCGGAACTCTACAGAAAAGAGCTGATCAGGCAAGCGTCTGCTGAGAGCAATGGAGGACAGGAAATGGAATACTGCGGCAAATTACATTTCGCTCTCAAATATGAAAAAGAGTTGGAAGGGCTAGTAGTCAAGGTAATCTGTGCATGAGTGTGCTGTAAGTTTAGTGATGTTTATTAGTTGCGTCAATGAATATATAAAACAGTCATTATTCAGGAATTCTCAGAAACAATTCCGATTTTCGATAATTTTCTTTCTCAAAGTTTTGTTTTTTCATGTTATTTGGAACTATAAACTTTTAAAGCAGTGAAAGAATCTTCTATTGTTTGGACAATAGGTGGGTCATCGAAAACTTGACATTTTGCAAATCTGAAAAAACGCTCAGACAGGTCGATTTTCATTTGGAGGGGGGCAGTTTTTTCCCCATTTACAGCGTCGGCACTTCAACCCCGGAGCAGAGGGGTGAACAACCCTTGGAATTTTAATAGGGAGTAGGAGGCGAGTTGCATATCGTTTGAAAGATTTCGAAATTTCCTAACAATGGTGTGCATTTTCTCAAATTGGGACGTATTAGAAAGAGTTCTTTTCGATAATTGACTTTTTCAATATTGTTAATAGCAACAAATTATTGCACGCCACTACTCAGGTGGAATATATTTGGAACTCTTTCATTTGTTTCTTACCCTACTTTTTTGTTAATTTTTTAGTTCTTCTCTGATAAGAGGACAATTACAATTGAGAAATGGTTAAAAATGCTGTTTCTGTTCAATCGACAATATGGGAAGAGTGTGTCGCGACAGTATGTTTTCGATTTATTTGCAAAATTTCGCGCAGCTGGATCTGTAGCAAATAAAAAACGGCAAATCGAATCACCAGTAACAAATAAGGCGACACAAATGGCAATTCTGGGCTATGTTGAGCTTTACCATACTTTGAGCACAAGAAAATTAACATTTGTTTCCGGGGTGTCACGAACTAGCATTCGGCGTATTTCAAAATCCCACAATATGCATCCTCACAAAATTAAATTAACACAAGAACTGAATGAAGATGATTTCGATCGACGTTTGCTATTTTGCGAGTTGGTTAGTAAACGAGCGGTGAAAAATCCACATTTTGTTTTCAACATTCGCTTCAGTGATGAATGTTTTTTTTTTCTGGATACACAGTTATTCGCCATAATTGTCGCTATCGAGCTGATTCAAATCCTCACATTTTTCATGAAGTACATACAAAAATTAAATGTATGGGCTGGAATTTTCGGTGACCGTATTGTTGGCCCATTGTTTTTAGAATGCAATTTAACGGAACAAACGTATCTGGAGCTTCTGGAAGATACTAAATCTCCTTCTCACTGATATTATTGAAAATAACCACAATTATTGGGTGGATATGTTAATATTTCAACAAGATGGGCCTCCTATGCACTATGACTGATCAGACTTTTCCGGATCACTGGATTGGGAGGCGGGAAACTATCGAATGGCCACCACGATCACCATACCTTTCGCCGTTAGATTTCTTTCTGTGAGGTCATTTGAAAAGCAAAATTAACTGTACTCCTCCTGCACCAATCAAATCACAGCAACGAATCACAGATGAATGTCGCCAAATCACTTCACAAAGTTCGAGAACGTTTCCAGCAGAATCTCTATTATTGCATGGAAGCTGGGGGTGCCCACTATGAGCATATGCCTAACATGAGAATGAAGTAAGTAACTTCAACTCTGAATTTGATATGGTTCGTCCAAATAAAAAAATGTACACCGTTGTTTACAGAATTCCAAGATCTTTCAAACGATGTGCGACTCACCCCCAGTTTCCTATTGAAATTCTAAAGGTTGTTCACCGCTCTGCTCCAGGGTTGGAGTGACGACGCTGAATGTGAAAAAAACTCTCCCCCTCCCAAATAAAATCGACCTGTCTAAGCGTTTTTTAGGATTTGCAAGATTAGTACCCAAAACCTCCATGTCAAGTTTTCGATGGCCCACATTGTATATATAGGTATGATATCTACATGAAAATGAAATCTGTGTAACATTTTATAAAGAAAAATTATTCTAGCAGTTGATATGGAAATACTCAATCAGATATTTACATAATAATTATGACACCAAAGTTGTGTATGAGTCTAATTGATTTCGAAAATAAAAACGTTAAAAAATTCCATTATATATTAAAGATTTTTTAATTAAATCAAATTGTGTATTATCGAACGAGAGTAATTAATGGAATTGTGAGTTTTCTTGGTTTGATTATAACAAATGAAAAATACGTAATTAGGAAGGGTGTGGTTGATAACGGTGGTATATCTCGTCGTGTTTTTTCAATGCACTGTTTGGAACCTTTGCTGTAGTAATGAATAATACTGGAGTTTTCTCCCAACACCAAAACGTTATTTTAAACACCTCGACACGTGTTTCGATCACCAAGAGGAAGATTAAACAAAGACTTTCCTCTTGAATAAAAGAAAACAACAGTGATACTCATGAATACGTTTAATGTAAATTGCGTTCACTCATAGAAATTTCAAATATTTCACCGGAGAAAATTTTCAGAGAGATTTGTATTCACTTTCACTTCATATTATTCATGACCAGGCAAAGTTTGTGAGACATTGGTGCCTTCATTGTTCGATTATATATAGTGATTCCCTTCATGGTCCTTGCCTAACAAGTCATTATCAAAACAAAATTCAAAAGATATATAATGGAATTGACCAATACTGGATAAAGATCCATAACTAATCTATTCAAAAAACACTTCATTGTGAGATTTTTACTAAACAGTTTCACAAAAACGTAACACGTGTTTCGTCATACAACGGCTTCTTCGGGACACGCCCAATTACTTTCGTGCCTTTTGCCAACCATTACAGTTGACGAAACGGGTGAAAATGATTCAACAATTGAATTGAACCATCTCTAAATATCTTCTTCAATTAGAGGTTGACTACTGCAAATGATAATTTTCTCCTTCAAGCCTCATATTCGGATCCTAATAAGGAATTGTCGAACGATAATATTATTCACATCGTAACAAAGTAGTAAATTTCGTTCTGCACTAAATTCTAATTTGAACTCTGAGGTCTGAGCCAATAATGGGATTTTCACGTGAAAAGGTTTGCATGCATCAGAAAGCTCGCCTTGCAGGATACTCTGACGGGAGTAACGATGCTGAGTTGAGCATCCCGCCGCATTTATTTTGAGCTATAAAATGGGTGGTATTTGCATCCAGATTTATGACTTACTCGTATTCGTGTAGATTTTTCGCTCATAACAGTTCATCTTCCTGGGAATTCTATCAAAAACTGAATATATTCAGGAATCAACAAAAATGATAGCTTTTGTAATCGTCAACAACATTCATGGCATGTTTTTCAATGGCACTCAGATATTACGGATCATTTCGTCTGTGATGAATCTGAATTCAATTATCGGATACATATTACTGAAAAAAGTAGATATAATGCTTTTCCTATCTTTGAATTTGAATAAAACAAAGTTTGGGTGAGATATAATTGAAATGTCCGCCACGGCTCCTTTCGGTGGAGCGCACCGGAAACGTCCAGTTTCCCATTACTCTGGCACATAAATCGAGCTGAATTTGACCGATGTCATAGGTGATGCTAGCCACTGTGGTTTGTGGCTCATTCGCATACATCTGCGACTTGAGGAAACCCCACAAGAAAAATTCTAACGGGGTCAAATAGCGTGATTTCGGTGGCCAGTTTACATTACCCCCCACGTGAAATGACCATGCCCTCAAGTCAAGTCAAAAATGTTTATTGGTTTTTAAAAATATTTATAAAATATTGTGAATGTGTGTTTTTTTGTGTGGGGCCCAGCTATAGGCATATGCCTCTTCAGGGTTAGTGGATTGTATGTGTGGTGACTTATGTAATGAGTCATGTGTTCCTTTTGTTTTTTAAGCCATTCCCGTTGTTCCGTTAGAGTGGTCCGGGTCAGTTGCAGGAGTCGTTGGGGTTTTTAGGGCACGTGTTGTGAGGCCGGGGGTCATGGCTTCGGATTTCAGTTCCTTCCTAGACGCAGCTGACCGCTATCTGATTCCAAGTGGGTATTCCTCTAGGATATTATGGATCTGCTCCGGCGGATCTTCTATTGTTTCCAGGAGTCTGGCTGGGGAAAACGGAAGCTTCTACCTAAGAATCCTTCTGAGTCCTCCACGGGGAGTCCACGGTGTGGTCAGCGAGTTGATGGCATCGGTGTTACTACTGCTCATCGTTCAACCATGTTCTCAAATCACTCGTGCAGAATATCCATGAGCTGTGTTGCACGTAGTGCCCTTCTATTGAAACCACATGTCGGTGACCAGATTATCCAATTCAGGCCGAAAGAAATTAGTGATCATCGACCTATAGTACCCACCATTGACAGTGATGACCTGGAAAACGCCTTTTTTGGAAATGTATTGGACGCTCTTGGATGTCATGTGGACAATAATTTGGCAATATTGTTTATTCACGTAGGTATCTATCCCTCCAGGAATTGACCTCATCGCTGAAGATGATTCTAATGAAACCACATCAGATCAGTTGTCAACTGCTCCGAATCCTATTCAGCATCGTGTTTATGTCGTTTTCTATGGTCGTTTAACGTCAGTTTCTGGGTCAAATCCAAGTTATGGTCTTCAAAAGATCGAGTCCTCCATTATTGATTCAATGAATAACAGAATATCCCTTCTTTCAAGTAGTTTTCTTACCTAGAATCATTTATTCAAATAACCTTCAATACATTTGATTTCATCCAAACGGAGCGGCCAACTGTCATGAGCCCAAGTATTCTTTCGCCGTACCGGAGGTTCCGGTGGAGAGCATTCCACTAGTGCCAACGGTAGCTCTTTCCCAACCTAAAGTTCATTAGTATATCTGATGGTCAGCCACATACCTTCTTCCTGGAGGCCTATGCATGTGTGATGAATATATGGCTTTTCACGGAAATGCAAAGTCTAATTCAGAGCTTGGTTGATTTTTAATGATGTCACGTATGAGATATCACCGGGAAAGTGGTTACAATAAAAGTGGTTGAGAGTGTGTGTTTTGTGTGCAGTGTGTGTTATTCGTGTGTGTGTGTGGTGTTCAAATCGTATTATGTTGTGATGTCCGATTCAGGCTATTCGCCTCTTTCCTCAAAAATGTCCAGAGTCCCCCATGATTGCGAGGTTGGTAATGATGCGCCCAGATGCTCGTGATTTCCCCCGTTAGTGAACTTTCCGGTAGGTAGACTTTGTAGAATTCATAGGAGAGTCTGTAGATATGATTCGCAATGCTTTCCATTCCAGATAGTTTCAGTGAGTCTCTGATTCGAGTGTATCCGTCACAGTTGGTGATAATATGGAGAATCTTGTTCTGCATCCTTTCGAGTCTCTGAAGTTGAGACTTATTGAGGCTGCGAAACACTGGCCAGGCGTATATCATTGTTGGTCTCATCATTAATTTATAGATCAGCAGTTTATTTTCCATGATTAGGATAGAGTTTCTAGCAATCAGAGGGTGGATTTCCTTGGCCCCTGCACCTGTCATCTGTATAGCTGAGTTCAAATGTTTATTTGAATCCATTCGCCTGTCCAGTATTACTCCAAGATATATCGCTCCTCTATTCTTTTGTCTCCCTCTCGCAGTTCTTCTAAGACTTTCACATTTGCGAATTTCCTTCGGAAGTTCACAAGTTTTGTCTTAGACGTGTTGATAGATATCCTATTCTTCTCTGAATATGGAGTGATTTTCCTATCCAGGTGGGTCTGAATTTGCAGCCTCGCTTGAAAACTGATGGGCATATATAACGGTATCATCCGCATACCTGGCCACATTCGTTCTCTCAAACATAGGAAGATCCCTCGTATATAGCGGGTATAGGTGGGGGGGGACAAGCACGACCCTGCAGGACACCTACCTCTATTGGGTACTCAACAGATCTAGCTCCATTTACCCTTACCTGAGAAGCCTTGCCAGTCAGATAGGAATCTACAATGTTTACCCCTAGCAGCTTGCTGATCAATCCATCTATCCAGACCTTGTCGAATGCTCTCTCCATGTCCAGCAGGACCATAACCATATTACTACCCTTGTGGAAGGATTCCTTTATCCCGTGGACAATACGGACCACCTGTGAGGTGGTGTTTCTGCCTTCTTTGAATTTGAATTGGACCTTCGTGGTAAGTTTCATCCTTTCCTCAAGGCGAGTGAATCTTCTGAGAAAGATTTCATCAAAGGTTTTTTGACGACTGCGCTCAGGAGTGGAATGGGCCTCTTAAATGGTAACAAATACTTTCGAAGTTTCGAAAGCTAGTTTGCATACCAAAACACATGTTACAGTTTTTGTAAAACCTGTTATACTGGAAAATATTTCAGAGATTTTATTGGTCCTCGTTGTAGATGTGCGAAAGTTCAAGATAAAAACTTCATGTCTGTCAGGCCCTCGCTGCTTGAATCCATCTATCGAACGAGTCGATGCTGGTGATTTATTATGCACCTCATGCCCGTCTATTTTTTACAATCTCTATTTCACAGTCCATTTCAATGAGGAGATTCTGTGATCAAATTCGAAACCCAGCCATAAAACGGCTATGAAACGCCCAAGACTAGGTAAAGAAGGACTGAGTTGACTAGTAATCATCTTGGCAAAGGTCAATAAGTAGTAAAAGAGGATTTCAACTCCCTCGGCATTAAATGTTAGTTGTGAAGTTGTGTAAATTGTGAAGTATTATTTCCACCCCACCCATTCAATTAAAATGAATATAGGATTTTCTTGGTATATTTTTTTGGAAGTGTCGAAGTCACTAATAGCATATTTCTTACTGAATTGTTTCAGGTATTCGAATCAAGAGATTTACCAGTGAAAGACATGAATGGTAGCTGTGATCCTTATGTGAAGCTGTATCTTTTTCCTGATAGGAAAAAGAAGTATCAAACCAAGGTCCACCGCAAAAACCAGAACCCAGTATTCAATGAAACCTTCATATTCAGGTTAGTATTCGACATTGAAGAGTATTCTTCATGAATGTAGATTTAGATGCATTGCAGGAATTGACTCTGCTTATTTATGACATGAGTTTCTCCTTCTCCTTAATCTTCAGTATTCATTTCATTATTTTCCAGTGTGATGTATGAAGAACTTCGAGATAGATATCTGCAATTTTCTGTGTACGACTTCGATCGCTTTTCCAGACACGACTTGATTGGACACGTTGTATTCAAAGGACTATCTGAAATTGCCGAGCTTCACCAAGAGGTTGAGTACACCATGAATATACTGTGCCCTCCAAAGGTGAGTGAGCTCAATCTATATTTTCCGTTAAGATACTAACTGATACAGAAATTATATAGAATTCCGATTTAATCTCACCGATATCAACTTCCTAGAATACTTCCGGAGAATACAAATAACGTTTCATTTTCTTTTCGGCTGTTCAGAAAAATTATGAATTTAGATATAATGATCTTCAAACATGACTCAACCTCTGACGGAAGCACCAAACTCTTACGCAGGTTCGGAATGATGAACACTTCAATCTAGCAGACCACTATTATGATCTTCATGCAGTCATTGTTCACTGTGGTTCTGGCGTTGAATCTGGTCATTATTACGCATTGGTCAAAGATAAAACGGACTGGTTTGTTTTTGACGATAATCGTGTCACTAAGTGTTCTGGCGATGTCTTGCAACTGGCCACTGAAGACACCCTACATTTTGTTTTATGAAATAGAGGACATTGGCAGATCAAGATCTTCAGATGACGTGGTGCGGCAGGATTTCCGGGTTTTCCTGCAGCTGAAAAAGCAAATACACCACTGGAATCAATAAAGTCACTTCGGGGTGCCAATTAATTTCATGATTTGTTTTACTTCCTTCTTTACTATCATAATATATCACATTCGAAGGTGACGGAAAGTGAAGGAAAACCTTCCTCACCCTCTATATCATCATTCATATAATGAAATCATCGGTCCATTTGTCTGTACGTGTGTGCGCGTTAGTCTCGACAAGGGTTTGGTTCATATCATAAAGTCGAACATATTTACTGAGGATACACTACAAAAACACACTTTTGTCTATTTTCAAAAAAACTGTTGAATTGAAGTTGGCAAGTTGACTTGGGTGTCACACCAATAGGTGTTTCCACTTATGTTTCGCTTGCGTTTACGCAGCTATTTTTATCAAGTACTTTCGTGGTTTTTCACATTTTGTCTTCAATCGAGGACCGCCTGCCCGGTACTGACTGTATACCGGTGGCTTTTAAATTGAAATCAATATGGGAATAATCAAAAAGTGCTTATCTATTTATTTTTTGATTTTCATGGAATTATTTCCCAGCAGCCTGATGCATTAACCTTTCTAGATTTCATATCATTTCTAGAAACATGTGGATTCGTTTTCAGATGGCATTTCAGGTTAGCTTCCCAAATTTCTGCTACCGCAGTTGTCGGTTGATTGGTCAAACCACCAACACTGACATTTTTTGATTGTGATTTTTTACGTTATTTCATTTAGAATTTACAAGTATACATTTCTAAACAAAACTCTTCGATTCACTCATTATTATTTTTCGACCTTCTTTGTTTCTCATCGCACTACTCTACTCGAGTGTGTTGTATGCAGTTTTTGTTGTATTCTCAACTGTTCAACGTTAGGCTTTTGTTCGTGAATCAAGGAAATAATAAACAATCCAAAATAAAACATTTCATTGCTGTGAAATTCTTCTTGAAAGTTTTCAGTGGTACAAAAACGAATCAATTACAGAACTCATATTTCTTTATTGCTCATTTCTGGGGAAAGTTGCCTGTCGAGATCCATAACTTCCGAACTTTTTGTTGCTACATTGAAATGAGGCTGAGTTTCTCCGAAGTTGTCAGAAATTGAAATCTGGCCAGCTCCACTAACTAGATTATCTGTAAAAAGAAAGTATTTCTTACGAGAAAGTAATTAAAGTTCAGCAAAGAGATGACCAAGTTGTACACTAATGAAAGCCGGCAACTTTCCCTGGCATCAACGAAATTTTTTTGTGAGTAATTTGAAGATATCTTTTGAACGGATAATTTGATTGGGATGAATTTGGGGATCAAGGGGGTTTTTCAGGAGAAATATCATCGTCCAATATCATAGTCATGACGAAGGATATTTTTCTATTTGAAAAAAGTGATGACGTGACATTTATTCATGTTCGGGAAAGCTGTTTGTTGATGACCAACCATCTATAATATCTAATTCGTTTTGAAGAATCTGACTGTCATGAAACTATACTCATATGAATCGCTACACCAGTGTACCGCCCTCTTCAGTTATATTCTTGGCGAATATACTGCATCCTTGACTTTGAACATATTCATACATATTTTAAAACTGTCGTACATTTATCCTCACCTAAACGTCCACTGCATTTTTAATAGAGCTAAAATTTGCCATGCCGACATACCGCAACAATATTCTGAAGCTGTGTATGTGGATATCGTTGCCGGGTCCGTGGAATTCATATGCAGAACTGTGATCCACGTAAACCCCAAACACCGTTGACAGGGATCAACTGAGCTTGAGATGTTTCGATACCGTAAGCTTTCCTTCCTTTTCTCCGTCTTCTTAGACAGGGATGGCGTTGAAATAATATCATTTGAAGGGGTTCACAAAGTGAGTTCAGACTCGTTAAAAAATATTGGGTGAATTTATTTCAGGGTGTCAATTTTGAAACTTCCCAACCTCAATATCTTCCTTTCAGTAAACAATATGAGAAAAAAAAGATCATTTTTTTGTCCAGGAAAGACTTTTGAAGAAGAATATCCATTAGCCATCTACCCCTGGGAGAGGTAGACGTTACCCTAGAATTTTAAATGGGAAGGGGATCAAGTGGCATATCATTTTGGTTGGTGTTCAACTCTGCTTCCAATGGTACCCTGACTCATTATATTTTGATGAGCATTTAAAAAAATAGCATTCTAAACTAACAGGATTAATTATTAGTACGCCTATTCAGAGATGCATGGTTTGACCAGGAGTGGTGAGAATATTAGGTGTTACCGTTCCAACTCTTTATTGGGAGCAACATTAGCCATCAGCTCCAATTTACATCAAAAACTAGGGTAATAGTAAAACTTAAATGAGATGAATAAAAAACACTTTTGTCTAAATACCACTGATAGATTTTATTTATTCGACCGGTTTCGGGTTTGACCCCATTATCAAGTATAAAACTGAAATTTGAAGTTTGAAATATCGTTTACATTGGAATTTTCAGGTATGCTGCAAGGAAAGGTATTTGAGAGACAGGTAGTTGGGCTAAGCAAGATGCCAACTTTAAAATTCCACACTGAAAATTCTAGGGGTTGTTAAACTTATGAATTCAAGAGAAGAGACCTACATAAATCGAGTTGCTTGTTTAGGGGTATATATTTCTGGTTTTTAATCGATTTGTTGATTTCCATGGCCTCCAACAAATTAATTCTTTCTCTCCATTACATATGTGTAGGATTTTGAGGTTATCTTCATTTATTTTGTGATTTGATTCTTGAAGATGTTCGTACATGCATAAATGCATAAATTTCATCCTTATGGAATGCAGATTTTTCAAAAGCTCCGCGAAGACGATTATGATAGAATAGAGTTTTGTGAAATCATGTCTCATCGAGTCAATACCATTCCTAATCTTCTGTTGAACATCTGTTTCAGCGATGAGTATTCATTTTTTCTGAATGACAGTGTTAATAGACAAAATTATCGTTAGTGGAGTGACGGAAACCCACATATTTTTCGATAAGGGCATAAATAACACCCACAAAATGTTAATGTTTGGGCTGGTATTCTTGAAAATGCCATTATTGGTTCATTAATTCTGGAAGAAAACTTGACTGGTAATCTGGCAGATTGAACTTCATCTTGAAGATGATCACTTGGTGATCGAAACACGTGTCGAGATGTTAAAATAACGGTTTAGTGTTGGGAAAAAACTCCAGTACTATTCATTACTACACCAAATGTTCCAAACAGTGCATCACAAGTACTAGAAATGAATTCCAGAATTAGAGATCTTCAATACTTCATATATGTGAACAGTGGGCAAAAATAGTTGAGTTTTTTTTTTAATGGATATCTAGTGTTACCTATTTCCGAAGGTTTGGTTCAATTATCCAACAACCAACTGACACCACAATGGCTTGCCTTGTATTTTTGTTAAAACAGAACAAAAAACATCAGAATTAGAACCATTCCAAAATGTCCCGACTCCAACCCTGCTTCTACCCATAACCAAGACACAATTGTTTTCCCGTCTTCCGCACCGTCATCAATTCGATTCAAATTTCTCATGCATTCCTGGTATAGACTTTCACAATGAGGGTATTATGTGACACTCCGCATCAAACTTGACTATCTATAGTCCTTTTGTGTCGTAATGACGCAGTTATTTTGAAAACATCTCTGAATAATCGCTATCAATGAGAAACACTGGAAATTGATTTGATATACTTGTCAATGAAATAAAATAATACCATGGAGTTTCAGGTAGTGACATAACATAACTTTCAACCAACGTAATAATGAAAATCAATGAGAAAAGATTCTGCCGATTTTTGATGTGCCTTTTAATATTTTGTTAAGAAAACCTGAATATAAAAAGCGAAATCAGCTATTAGAACTCGGTTCAATAACACGCAACACATATCTGATTTCGAAACTCTGGAAACAACAGGGTGGAAACACAAAACCGATTATTTTTATTCTCATGCATTATTTTCAAAAAGAAATAGTAGAAATTTTCATCAGAAAGTTTCTCTCCAAATTGTATCCAACAAATCACTGATGTGTGTACAAAAGTGAAAGTATTTCTCAGAAGTTTTCACTATTTTTTGGCCATTCATGTCTAGCAGTGAGGATGACAGTGCTCCATGTGAATTAAATAATTGAGAGCAAAATTAAGACTGAATTATAAAAGTATTCTTCCCAAGAAGATAAGATTACTTGCACATCAGTTTCCCAGAATCGCGAGATTCTGCTTCAGCATGGTCAGCGGTTCACATGGGAACGGGCGATATAATTACATTCCCCGATCCTACCGACTGTGCCAAATATAACTTTCTATAAGTTTTATCCCAACACCAAACCGTTTTTTTAACACTTCGACACGTGTTTCGATCACCAAGTGATCATCTTCAAAAGGAAGATCAAACTTGTTTGATTTTCAGTTTGGTGTTGGGAAAAAACTCCAGTAATATTCCTTAACGAATGTTTGGAGTACAAACTGAATAGGAAACAGTGTTTTTATATAATCCAATGAACATATA